TGCATCTGCAGTCGTTAGCACCCACCAACCCGCACTGGGCCAGCGTGGTGGGTCATGGCCCAATCTCCCTATTCCATCCATAGGGAAGGCCTGTGCCCCAGCAGTGGGGACATTAATAGCCTGATGATGATGAATAGGTAATTTTCAGTGTTTACTACTGTTGTCCCTATCGCACGGTATTTGCCAAGGCTTGACAGCAATAGTTTTTTTAAATACCTTAAATTCCCAAATATCTCTCAGCTCGCGTTCGCTCTTAAGGTGTACATTGATTCCCCGGGAAAATGCGCTCAAATTCCAGTGAGAAACCTGTTATTCCATACTCTTAATACCCTCGAGGACCTTTAAAAGTATGTGATCATTGCCAGATGATAAAAATGCAATCGGTTTTATATCATACTGAATTATAACTACCTACCAGGGAAACACAACTGTAAAAAAGCTATAACGATGTGCTCTCGACAACCTAGAACAATGAACCTTAAACTAAGAACCTCCAAAAATATAACGTAATAACTTAAACTAAAAAAAACCTTAAAATATATAATAACTAAAATACATCACTAAAAGGAGTCCCTTTAGGCAAGGTTCCAAAGATACTGGCAGCGTTCCCCCTTTGAATAGCTAGACTAATTCTTTGTCCGAGGTAGCTGCCAGCTCTTCGGTCTCCTGTGACGTCTACCAACCTTTTTGCTATTTCCTATTTGCTATTTACCTAGAACAATCACCCTTATCGTCGAGCTGTTATGTAGAACAGAATTTATTTTTCTTTAGGCGATTTGGTCTATTCGCAACACGAATAAAAAATCTTATTTCCTTTTATTTTTGAATAGATTGAGGTCCACTTGCATAAATAGTTCTTAAATTACATTAAAAATTATAAAGCCTCTCATTTGACTTTAAACAATTTGATAAAGATGGAATGATATGTTTCGATTGGTGACCTGTCAATATTAAATCAAACGAACATCTTAACTGCTTGCTCGCGTTACATGGCTTTGCCTGAAAATTTTAATGAACTGAAAGATTTTGTCTTTTTTGTTTAAGAAAAATAGTCGTTGAACATAAAAATCGTACTAATATTACCTAGCAGTACTAGCTGAGATTAATCATCATCATCATCAGCCTATTAATGTCCTCACAGCTGGGGCACAGGCCTTCCCTATGGATGGAATTGAAGATTGGGCCATGACTCACCACGAAAAAAAATTAAATAAGATTAATGTCACGAATAAAACAAGGCGAAAGCGATTTTAATACAAAGCGTTGAGATTTTAATACAAAAATCTCATACCCGATTTCAAAAATGCCTGCCGACAAATGGCATTGCAGTTTGGCAGAATAATAGTTATTAAGTGTTTTTTCTCTGTGTAAAAATAATTTTAAAAAAAACTGGTGGTTATCTAACAAAAACTTTTCCTACAAACTTTGTCCTGACAATAAAGAATACAACAACGAAACAATATTGTTATTTGGTGCAGTCTTTTAAAAGTTATGTGATTTATTGATACAATATTTAAAATCGGAAGGTGTAAATGAGCTTATCAGCGATTCCAGTATCTCGTGTTCTCGTCAAACCGGTGTTATTATTCTGTCGCATGCAGGCGTACTCGTCAGTCGCGAGTGCAAACGCGAGTGGTACACTGCATTAACGTAAAGTGACAGTAATGGCGAAAGTAAAGGTTGAACAGGGTTGGTTGGAGGGCGAAGTGTTAGATGCAGCAAGCATTGACGGTGATCAGAGAATATTCTACAGTTTCAAAGGGATTCCTTATGCTACGCCGCCTGTGGGAAAACTTAGATTTAAGGTAGATACAAAAATTATATTAAGTATTTTACTATTGTACGATGCAGCGCTTATAATTAAAATTATTGTATTTTGTACAACTATACAATTTGACGACCTCCGTGGCCGAGTGGTTTGTACGCCGGGTTTCATGGTGTCGCCGACTCGAAAGGTCCCGGATTGGAAGCCCGGTGGGGGCAGATGTTTGTGAGATGAATACCAGCATTTGTACTCCAGTCATGGATGTTTAACATGTATTTCTATATAAATATACTTATTTGTACAGTATATGTATTCTATCCGTTACCCTAGTATCCCATAACAGAAGCCTTATGGTGCTTACTTTGGGACTAGGCTAATTGGTGTGAGTGTTGGAAATATTTATTTATTTATTATGAGATGAAATAAAGATGTATCTCGATGTATAAATCTAAATTGTGGGTTACCTACAATACGAAGAGATGGCGCTGCTTTGCAGCTTAAGAAAGTCTAGAAAGAATTCGACACGGCCGTCAGGGCCGCGGTAGCAAAATTGGTGATCGGGCCATGACCCACCATGCGGGCCCAATGCGGATTGGCGCGTACTAACGACTGCAGATGTAGCCGGGACCAACGACGGCTTAACGTGCCTCCCGGAGCACGGAACAAGTCGAAATAGAAATTTTTTGGTCACCCATCCAATGACCGACCACTGCGAAAGTTGCTTAACTTCAACATCGCAGCCAAACGCGCTTACCACGTGCGCCATCGAGCTCCTCATATTAAACTAAATAATTGTCTGCAATTATTAATTTCGGTAAAACTGTACTTCCAGGGCCCAAAAGGTAATACTTGTTTTTTTTTTGTAGAAAAGGTCTTTTTAACATTTTTTTTTTCTGGCGCTTCGCCGGCCGCTGCGGCGGCACGCTCGCTTTGCTCGCTCGGCTCGCGCATTATGGTCACAACACTAACCTAACCTAACCTAGTGTGAAGTATCACCACTTGATAAGAAAAGTAAAAATTTTCAATATTTTTTTCTAAAAAACTACCAGTGCATAAGTGTGACATTTTTTTTAATAATGTGGTTAACAGAAACCTTTTTAACAACAAAAATGCGAAATTACAACCAACTAAACTGTGAAGTTTTTACTTTTGGGCCCTGGAAGTACAGTATATCCTTAATTTCTTAAGTTCCTAATCACCCAAACTATTCAAACTACTCATAACATTCGATATTCTAATCCACAAGCTAGCTGTTACCAAATTATCAAATAATTTACCACTTTATTTGGTATGTCTTAAATTTATCAATTCAATAGATAATTAAACCACACAGCAACAGTAAAGTAATTGTAAACAGCAGATAAAAGATATTTTTAAAATACATGTATCGACTTGGGGTGTTAAATAAGCTTTAGTAATAGAGTAGGTTGACATTTTTGAAGTGAAAACTTTTTTAGCGGCGTTGTACACTTTTACACACGTTAAACACGTGGGCTGATCGCATCATGACACACAATAAAATTGGAAAGGTTGTTGACTTTCAATATATTGGACCAAACATAGTAATATTTTATTTTATCGTATTATAATGATAAGTCTGTATCTAGGTGTTGTTTTTGATGTAATATAAATTGTCATGTTTGTGTACGATAGCGCAATAAATAAATATTGTATTGTACTACATGAATGATAGTACTTTTATACTGATAATTAAAGAAATTCGTGCAAAATTATTCCCTAACCATTCTAAATATCTAAAATACACAACGTTAATATTCAAGTTTTCACTTCTACCAGCACCCCCGGAGTGCAACCCGTCGTTTTTTTTAAACACACATCATTCAGCTACGCCCAAAGTTAGCACTGTAGGCTTGAGTTATGGGATACTAGGGTAACGGATATAATACATACACTGATAAATATATAAGTAAATATATTTATATAGAAACACATATTTAACATCAACGTCTGGAGTAGGGACACGAAAAAAGTATCGATACTTTGTGGTATCGAGTACTTTTCCTTTCGATACCGATACTTTTGTACTCGATACTTGGTTTTCGATACTTCAACTAAATGAGTACTTTTTGGCAAGTATTGATCACAACGCCATCTAGTGGAATCATAGCAAACCTTCTAAAACATTCCATTGCATTGATAAAATTTGAAGCACAAGCAATCTAGTGTGTCCTGAGACTTACGTATTTGAATTACGCACGTTTAGTTTTGCAGTTGATTATATTAACATTAAACAATTTTAAGAGTATCTACATAATATAGAAATTTGTGAATTTACATGACCGTTTTTTGGTTTCAATTATACGTACTATAATAAAATTTGATTGTTTTTCTTTTAATTTTAACCCGGGGGGAGGGGGGAGGGGGGGGTTTGCTCATAAGGCCCTATGAAATGTACTCGATACTTCGAAGTATCGATACTTTTGTTTCAATACTTTTACGAGTACGATACTTTTTTTCCGATACTACACATGAGTACAGTATCGATACTTTCTATTCGATATCGTGTCCCTAGTCTGGAGAAGAAATGCGCGTATTTATCATAAAAACATCTGCCCCCACCGGGATTCGAACCGACCTCTCGAGTAGGCGACACCTTGAAACCCAGAGTACATACCACTCGGCCATGGAGGTCGTCACTTTAAAAGTGTCTGGCGATAAAAACTGCTGGCAGAATGTGTCTGGCAGTATAAATTTCAAATTTTTTACCATATTCTCTACAACAAACGTGGGAATCAGTTCTCAGAATGCAAGTAAAACAATAAAATAAAATAAAAAAACAAAATAAAATAAAAAAAATAAAAATAAGTCAATTTAGTCAAATTTTATACGTACTGTGCCGTCTGATACCTGATGTTCATTGTACACACTAATACTACTCAATTATCCATAATTTGTCCATGACATATTAAGAAAGGTCTGGCGGCCTTTGGATCTTGTACTATATATTAAATTATTATGAAAAGGAATAAAAAATTTAGGTACCTACCTAGGTAGGTCATTAAAGAAACACGCATCTATAGATATAGACTTGTTGTTGAAAGTTATCTATCGCAAATGTTTATACTTTTTATAAAAAACCAGATTGACCTCAACTATAGGTAAACAAAGAAGCCAGCAAAGATTTCCATATAAATCTTTATCGGATGCATCGTTTATAAAATAAGTAATCGTTTTATTCACATACTGGTGTCGATTCTGGCACGATGCTCTAAATCTAAACTTAAATTTGACAACAGTGTATCCTTGTCATTCTCTATACAGAATGAAAATGAGAGACTGATATTTCAACACCAACTAGTAGGAATACAAAATAAATACATATAGATATTAACAAACATATATTATGGCTATTGCTAATATATCTAATAAATCCAGCCACAGAACGCAGAAAGAGGTTAGAAGAGCCTTGTTAGAAAGTGCAGGCTCGCCGCAGTTATGTGTGAGCTACGCTACGCTCATAACTCAACTAAAACTCGGTTATGTTTTTATTTATTTTTAAGCATTTAACTGCTAGATGTTTAAATCTAAAGAAAAGTTTACTAGAAAAAAAATCCACGCGGACCAGGCAGCGGACGAGACTCGAACCCGCACCCTTCGCAATCCGGGCGAATGCATTGACTATTATGCTACCACGGCCCTATTGGCCGTGTCGAAATTTTCCTAGCCTTAAGCTGCAAGGCAGCGCCATCTCTTCGCATTGTAGGTAACCCACAATGTCATACTTTTTCGTGAATACTTTTTCAAGTAACATTTGACGAACAAACATTTGAAAGAAGAAATAGCAATTATAGTTACATTTTTATTTATTTTTAAGCATTTAACTGCTAGATGTTGAAAACTTGGTTGTTCTCGTATTTTGATTGGCTAATATCTATTAGGAGGAAGTGTAGTGGGGTCGAGCCGGCGACATCGATTCCCGTACAAACGGTATATAAAACCCTTTTCTGTTGTGTTCTGTGACCATCACATATATTGTGTTTTAGACGATTGCGATACAAGAGTATTTACCACGAAATTTTTTACCACGTACGACAAAACTGTGGAATATATTGTCGCCAGCAGTGTTTCCGGACCAATACGACCCAAAAACCTTCAAAAAAAGAGCGTACTCCTTCCTTAAAGGCCGGCATCGCATTTGTGACACTCCTGGTGGTGCAAGTGTCCATGGGCGACGGTGATCACTTATCATCAGGTGAGCCGTCTGCTCGTATGCCCCCTATAATAAAAAAAAAAGAGTATCACTTGCGCCATTGCCTATCCTAATCTCATCATCCCCTTTGTTATTCATGCCTATCTGAGCACAATATAAACCAGCTATTTCATTCTATATTAGCAACTATGTAAATAAATAAATTTAAATTCTGTAATTATATAAAAACCTTGATATTTATTGATGCACTACAAGAACAAGAAACTGACACGAATAAATCTTTCAATTTGTTTTATGATAAGGGTAAGTAAACAATGTAAAAATTTACAGTTAGATATGGAGAGATAAAAAATGGAGTTCCTCAGGAAACGATACTGGGACCATTTTTTTTCATTGTACATAAACGACCTACCTAAAATTATTAAAAACGAATGCTTTCTCTTTAAGTATGAAATAATGAAAGTAGTAATACTATTACTGACATTTTTATTTGGATTATTGACAATAAATTGAAATGTAATAAAAAATTTGATATAAGACATAATTGCGATAAAATTGACATTGTAGAATCGACTAAATTTTTCAAAATCGCACTTGACGAACATTGTTACTGGAAATATTATATTGATACTGTATACAAAAAACAATTCCAACGCGTACAAAGAAATTTGGTGACTCATTTCTTTGTCTCACTATCCGTAAATGGAATGCTCTGCCCGCACACGTGTTCCCTCCCTCTTACAACCTGGGATCCTTTAAAAGAGGCGTGAAGAAGCAACATGCAGGCCGGCAGGGTGAGGATGGCTGGTGTGGCAGGTAGAACTGCTGTATCAGCTATCTTCGCGTCTGGACTTCCCCTTCACTTAACATCAGGTGGGGTGGAATCATTTGTCGGACCTATCTATAAAAAAAAAAAGATCAACAGTTTTGTCTTTGCACTTGGTAGAATCAGGAGAATCACTTGTTTTGATATAGCGTTACAGGTGTATCATGTTTACATTAACAAGATACGGACATCTTGTTTCATCATTCGGCATTAATCCTGCGCAATGGCTTAATAATATGGAGAAATAGTGTAGGCATAGAAAGAGCATTTAAAGCCTAAAAAAAGTATGTCAGGGCATTATGTGGAATAAAAAGTTGGGAATAATGCCAACCTTTATTCAAACTACATGGAATTCTTGTCCATCCGAGCATGTATATAGCAGAAATTTGTCTTTTTGGAAAAAGTGATCCTGATTATTTTATTACAAATATAATCAAAGAAACCCAAATGTACGTGATTCCAAAAAAGACAAATTATGCGTATCAAAAATCAATCTAGCACTATTTAACATAAGAGGATATAGTTGCAGCAGCCAACGGTACAGACAACTTTGAATTTTTTTTGGCGGCTGGAATATTTTTGATATTTGCTGGAACTTTATTAAATATTTTAACTGCCATATTGCCATACAATATACATTTATGTTAAATAGTGCTAGATTGATTTGTGATACGCATAATTTGTCTTTTTTGGAATCACGTGTATTTGGGTTTCTTTGATTATTTGTAATAAAATAATCAGGATCACTTTTTCCAAAAAGACAAATTTCTGTAAATAAATATTTCCGTAAATAAATATTTAAATGAGTAGATAATTCTAATTATTATTGTTTTATTAAACGCAAATAATATATTTAAAACTTATGTTATTGTATTTAATTTATGAATCTGTCATTGAATTTTTGACATTGTCATTTAATCTATTGTGACATTGGAATAATTTGTTTGACATAATATTGTATTGACATCATTGAAATCCTAATCAATCAGTCATTTTTTTTTGTTATATGTGAAACAGAGCGTAAATATTTTTATTTAGTGTCAATATTTAATTATTGACACTAGACATTTGCACGCCTACATTATCAAGGTATAAGTATTGTCGACCAAAAACTTATGTAACACCTTAATTGCACACAATATTTGAGCAAATAAATGATTTGGATTTGTAGTCTTCTGCTGGGTGGAGTTGCCCCCCACAGACGGACACAAACTTCATTATTTTTTATCTAATAGCGTTGTCAGTCTAAAATTATATTTAGCAATTCCTAAAATTAGTAAATCAAATCAAAATATAGGTCAGTAACGAATACCTTCTGCCGCCCCTCGCTGCTCTTACCTCCTCAGGATCGAGTGGTCTAGAGGCTCCAGATGGAGAGGAGACTCTCCCCATGAAAAGATTACATCCACCTGGAATACCTCTAGAGGCACTCGCCAAGCCTCGGATTGAGGTCCCCTAAGGGTCTCACGTAAATACACCCCTGACTATTATAGTGCGAAAACTCAATTCGTTGCCGTGGTCTGATCATGATGTTTTTCTGGTCATATTTCAATTATACGACGCCCACTGCTGAGCACAGACCTCCCCCAAACATCTCCATACTGATCAGTCCTAAGATGTCCGTATCTTGAACAGTGATTTTTAAAGTACCAAAATGTGGCCCCGCGCTGTTAAGATATAGTATGGAGAGACTAATGTTCTTCCAAATACTAATTACGTACCTACTTTGTAAATATCATCTTCACAATGTCTTGAAACCGGTCAAGGCTAAATGTCCATTGATGAGAAACAATGATGAGCTCCACCTTCAAGTTGCAATTATGTTATTAAATACAAAGTCATTGCAAAAAATCTTTAATTATTTCCTTATATTACATAATAGTATTACAGTTTTGATACCATTCAAAATATACACTCGACCGCAAATAAGCTGGGCCACGGTAATATTAGATATACAGTATTGTGACTCGGTCCTGTCCTTGAAATAACTGCCTACGGCCGAGCGGGGCGTATCCACGCGGTAGGGCTGCCCGCCTACAGTATTTTAATTTCATCTACATAATTGAGTTTCTTTCTTGTTTTGTGGTTGTAAATATTTTATTTCATATGTAAAAAAATATTGTGGTTGAATTGCGAAGAGTTACATAAAATACATTTTATTTTAAGTGTAATATTTAATAAAAAAAAAATAGATTTAAGACAGCAAAATATTTACGCCTCAGCTGAGACCTACGAAAAGCTTTATTATTAAATTTAATAGTATAGTAAGTACACATTCATATAAAAAGTTTAATTTATTGAAGAATTCAAGCAACCAAAAACAGTACAATGTCGACTATTGCTCTTTGCCATATTAAATTATGTAGATATCTACTTAATTCAATCAAATATACACAATACACAACACAATGCTTAAAAAACAATTCACACCGTTCGGTCGCACGGTGCAGCGCATTCGCGACTGGATGTCCTCCGGGTGCCACGCGAACTCGAGTGGCGTAGGTATGACACGCTTTCCGACCGTTTGTATGAAGATAGAATACTGTATAGATAATATTACCGTAGCTAGGCTACCCGCTAGTACCTTGGCCTTTAATTTGATTTTCTCAAAAATTATAAATAAACATACAACTATCAAAGTTAAACCTACATAAAGTGCGTTCCATAGTGACAAAAATTAATAAAAAAAAACAAAGTACTGTCAACTTACCGTGTAATTACGAGTAAAGCTATTTTTAAAAAAATTAAGACAATCTGATACTTGTTATCATTTCTTTAGTCTTTGTCCATAGTTTCCTCAGACGCTTATATTTTTTGCTACGTTTTAGTACGAATTAATACATTTGGATCTCAAAAAAATCCTGTTCATTTTGTACATCATGAAACGCACTTTCTGCATGTATAATTGTCAGTTTTCTACTTTTTGTCAAATCATTGTTCCGAGGTGGCAAGTGATCCGATTTATTTGCTGTCCAGTGTAAAATGACGTCCCTATGATGTAACATTTTATTGACTTTATTTCTTTTATTTTCACGCACACCACCATTATATGAATCGCTATCTATTGAGTTTTATTTTTAATAAAATTGTTGACATTTCGCCTTTCAAGGCTATGTCGTGACAATGCCAAATCAAAGCACTAACACTATAAGGGTTCATTGTTAACTAAAAATTGCTAAAAAGTTTTACATATTTTTTATTGTAACACAATGTCGAGTACCGTACACAGAGCCTAAGTATTTGCACGATATAAAAGGGCATGAAAAATTATACTGTCTATGAAAGATTTGGTATGATTACCAAATAAAATTACTAGAGAGCTAAACAAGAAAATGTTAACAATTGTAATTAAATCACTTTTCAGGCACCACTACCCCCTCAACCTTGGAATGGCATCAGAGAATCAAAGAACCACGGACCGGTGTGTCCACAAAAAGACATCTTCAAACAAGTTGTTATACCAGGCAGCGAGGACTGCCTGTACCTCAACGTCTACTCACCAGATCTGAAACCCTCAAAGCCTCTCGCAGTTATGGTATTCATCCATGGAGGCGGATACAAGAGTGGTTCGGGCAATGTAGACCACTACGGTCCAGACTTCCTAATGAACCACGATGTCGTTCTTGTCACTATCAACTACAGGCTGGAAGCGCTGGGATTCCTATGCCTTGATACCGAAGAAGTTCCCGGCAATGCAGGACTAAAAGACCAAGTTATGGCATTGAAGTGGGTGAAACAAAACATCAGCAACTTTGGGGGAGACCCAAACAACGTCACAGTATTCGGCGAAAGCGCTGGAGGCGCTTCCACTGCTTTACATATTCTATCACCAATGTCTAAAGGACTATTTCAGAGAAGTATTCCCATGAGTGGTGTACCGTTTTGCGATTGGTCGATCCCGTTCGAACCTAAAAGACGTGCATTTGTATTGGGTAAGCATTTAGGCTTCGAGACAAACGATACCAAACAACTTCTCGAGTTTCTCCAAAGTGTCCCAACGTCGGATTTGATAGACGTAAAACCTCACGTGACGACTTCTGAAGTAATTGGAGACAATATACTCAAAATGTTCCATTTTACACCTGTGGTAGAAAAAGACTTTGGCAACGAACATTTCTTGACCGAAGCGCCTCTACAAGTTTTGAGAAATGGAAAAATCAATGAAGTGGACGTGCTAATAGGTTATACCGACATGGAAACATTAGTTGCCATACCTATTCTGGAAAATTCTTTGCTAAAAGATTATAGCAAATATCCGGAACTATTAGTTCCCAGAAAGATACTTATGGAATCGAATCCCAGAAAATGTTTACAAATCGCAGATCGAATTCGCGAGCACTATTTTGGTAGAAAACCTATTTCTGGGGAAACAATAAAAGAATATATAAAGTACTCCACAGAGTGCACTTTCTTTTATGACACATACATATTTTTAAAACTCCTTTGCAAGAGCAGTACAAAGAAATTATATCAGTATAGATTCTCGAGCGTTTCCGATTTGAATATTTATGGACATCTCGGGTCGCCTTACGGTTTGATTGGAGCTTCTCACTTAGACGACCTGATGTATTTGTTTGATGCTAAACACGCGAATATAAAGTTGGGGCTGAAAGAACGCAAACTGGTTCAGCAGGCTTGTACTCTGTTCACTAACTTCGCTAAGAATGGGTAAGTTTTATATACCATATTTTTATAGAACCGATTTTGGTCAGGTAGGAAACTAATGGGGATTTTATTATACCTCAAACACCTCTCTTTAAATGACTTCGGTCATTGCCTTTAATTACAATACCTATCTTAATATACCTTTGTTCACGGCGTATTATTTTGAGGTGTGGTCAGGATATATTTTTATTTTAGAGTTTTGGGGCTACGCAGTCCTAATGAGACTGTATTCACTGCGACCTGTAAAATCTATTGTGACTCGCCACCAAGATAAAGTATAGGATTTACCCCGACAGCTTCCAAGAAGCTCAAAATGTTTCTATCTTTTAGAGATTTGATTTCCTCTAGGCGTATTATATGACATCCCAAATGAATACTACGTTTGTGGATGAGAGGCCCACATTTATTTAGAAATCATCATTATATAGAGAATTTGATGATTGACACTCCTGATTGCAGCATCTGCAAACATCAGTGTCACTCAATTTCATATGAAATTGGTGTCTGTTGAGTTTGCAGTGTCCAGTAATGGCTCTTACATAGCACGGGTGTTTGTCTTGCTAAGTTCTATTAACTCAACAGCTCGTTTTTTCGAGTAACTCTCTACTAGTGATTTAGCGTGCTCTAATCCTGGTTGGTTTTACCAGTATTTTTTCGATTCACTGAGAAGGTCGTCTTTGCATAGCATGGTTTCTACGGTTGCCAAAGAAAGGTTCTGGTCCTATCTGTTGCCCCTGTGTCCCTGCTCGTGCTAATTCATCAGCTCTCTCCTGATACCCATTTAAGAATAACTTTATTAAGAAGAAGAAATTACTGCAATCTTCACTGCATATAGTAAAAACTTATGAATTGACATACCCGTATAGTGCATATTCAGAAAGTGGTAGACTGGAAACCTATCATTATTATTGCCAGAACATATCTAAGACCATATTTAATGCCAATTGTGGGGTGAGTATTAAGGTTCTTATTTAAGGTATTAAGGACTCTGGCTGCGATGTTTATTTTCATACTCACAAGCTGCTTTGGAATTTTGATGCAGACTTCTTTATAAATTGGATAATTGAACAAACAACTCTCAAATATACTTTATCTTATCTTCCTATAGTAATAAATAAGATGCCACTATTTTTTATTGCAACGCTGTTTAATCATTATATCTTATCGTTAATTTTGTGTATGTTTAACAGCAACTTTCGCAATGGTCGGTCATTGGATGGCTGACCAAATACTTATTATCTCGAATATATTATTTATCGAAAGGTATGTTAAGCCGTTGGACCCGGCTGCATCTGCGGTCTTTAGCACCCACCAATCCACACTGAGCCCGCGTGGTGGGTCACGACCCACGTCGTCTCTCTGTTCCATCCATAGGGAAAGCCTGTGCAGTGGGGACATTATTCGGCTGATGATGATGATGATGTTTTACAGAGTAATGACCACATCCTCGTCGGAGGTTCAGTGGCCAGAGTATGGACAAGGGGAGTACTACGGGGACATCGGAGATGGGCTCACAATCGGGCAGCACTTGGACGCCGACGCCATCAGCTTCTGGAGGAGTATCTATGAAGATGCTGGAATTGACCTATTCTAAATAAACAATGTACGATCCTGGGCATGGTGGAAGGAGCTAGAATTATAAAGTTAATAAGAGCAATACAAAATTCGTAAACTTCATCTATTCACTGTAAATTAACCCTCAGGCCTCGAATTCGAAACGAAAATAGACACACAAACACCGCTAAAACTCATCAAAACGCAATCAACACCACATACACTCATAATACTATTCTAAAAAACTAAAGTGACTGTTATTTTCTGGTGATTGATTTCGTACTGGAAACTTAGATTAAAACAAAAAGGGTAGATACGGTACGCTCATACTTGCATCAAACAAAAACTGATCAAAAGTGATGCCGTGGGTTTGCTTTTTAGTTCTTGAGCAATTTGAGCACTTTCTAAAAACATACTTAGGCATTGTTTTATCATATAAACACAAAATATTATCAATATTTCTTTTTGGCGTTCACATGTACGTCGTTTGCATATCAAGTTGTGACTAAAGCGATTAGGGTCGTGGACCACAATTTGTGCGCATCACTTTTGTGAGGCTAGTGCCGTATCTACCCTTTTTGTTTTAATCTAAGACTGGAAACCGAATCAGTCGTACTGCAACCAATTTACTAATATTGCTGACCTAATAGGCCGGCTTGTCAATATAGCCAATCGATTTGGATCTTAAGTTTCGTGGGATACGACTGCAGACAAACAGACAGGTATACGACAAAAAAGGTTTAGTAATCGGATTTCGGTATTTCTTTAGATACGGAATCCTCATTAAGTAAAAAAAATATCAATATTACCACGTTAAATCGTCAGCATATATCTTTTCCGCGCAGATAAATAAAGTCTAGCAATGGACAGGGTAGTTTAGAAGTAAACATTATAAGCTGTCCAAAGTTTATTCTCGAACAGCAACTTGGACCAAAAGAATGCCAAATGTGGCATTTTTGGTATAGCTTTTACACTAGCACTTTACATGGCTATTCGAAATTCCAACTTGTCATTTTGACAGCAAGTTGTCCCTATGATCTTATAAAGAGATGAAATGGAGAGACTATTGTCAAGTTATGTGTATATTGTTCATGCGGGAATTTTACAAGGATAGAAATATTAGATATCATCAAAAGTGTTGTATCTATACAAACGATGCATTCCACTGTTCATCATACACAAATTGTTGCGAAAATGAATCACTTTTGATGAACCGTCTAATTTTGCCTTAAGTGCGCTAAAATTAGCGTTCGAAATCTGAATTAGTTTATCGTAATGAATTATCATGCTGCATGTCCATAGATGCAAGACGATAGATTTACTGGTGATTTCTGAAATGCATATAAGAGGTTGTGGGAAACCTCCGGGTTTGTATGAACAACTGAAGGAGCTTACTTACGATGGAACAAATTCATATTTGGAAAGCTAATTTTAGCACATGTTAAGTACCAAAGCTTCGTCACGCAGGTGTAGGTGAAGCATCACATGATGCTTACATTTCACATGTCATATGGCTATATATATTTACTATAAAAAATTGCAAATATGAATAGCCACGTGAAGTGCTAGCAAGAGGTCCTACACGCGCAGCTGCCGGCAGATTACCAGCAAGTTCTTTTGTATAAAGATATCTTGTTCTTGAGAAAATATAACTAGAAAAAAATCCACGCGGAACAGGCAGCAGACGGGACTCGAATCCGCACCCTTCGCAATCCGGGCGAATGCACTGACCAATTATGCTACCGCGGCCCTCATGGACCGCGTCGAAATTTCTCTAGCTACTCTTAAGCTGCAAGGCAGCGTCATCTCTTCGCATTATAGGTAACCTACAATGTCAAATGAATACTTTTATAAGTATAAAATTGAAAGTAAACATTTGAAAGAAGAAATAGCAATTATAGTCATTTTTTTTAAAGCATGTAACTGCTTGATATTTAAATCTAAAGAAAATATAACTAGAAAAAAATCCACGTCATTGGTGGAATTGCGAAGGACGGATTGTGAAGGGTGCGGGTTCGAGTCCCGTCTGCTGCCTGGTCTGCGTGATTTTTAGGAATATGTCCGGCCTGCCTCTAGTATTTTATAGTGCTTTTCGTATGTATCCATTAAAATAATCCAGTCAGGTGTAGTACATAGGATTCAGAAAGGCTTGCTTTTAGAGTTGCACAATGCAGCAGAATCACCGAACGTTATTCTTTTGCCGCAGTCTGCACGGATTCAAAATCATCATTAACCATTCCCTTCTTTCCCATTAGCTAGTATGACATATGGACATGGGCCACGACATGTAAGCACGCGTAACTACTGATAGATGGGTGCTAGCGAATGCAAATGTGACTTACCCTTAGTACTAACCAATATCGAAATCAAATATATTGTTTTAACTTTCATGGGCATTTACTATTACTAATATTAGTAATTACTATAGTAGTAATTGACATGTCTGTCGATAACATCCTACCCGCAATTACTTCAGATACGAAGTGATCATGGTGCTTGCAACAGTGCCGAAATATCGGAGACTCGCTGAAAACAAGGTAGATGGTTGGAATCCCGTCAATAACATAAATTACCGAATTGAAATAGTAAATGTAAATTTTGTATACATGAAAATATGAATAACGCCACAACATGGCGACAATGGACGTAACGAGATTTAAAAATCTTCTATACAAAACTTCTTGATATTTTACGCGTTTCGTGATCGAATTCGATTTGATTCGTGCTCAGGCAACAACAAAAATAATACCCGAAGTAAAGGTCGTATATACATAGATACTTGCAATACCAGAGTACCACTTTTACTATGCATAACTTTACTCCATCCCCTACTCTATAGGGGAACAAGTCCTGGACTCACTTACATAACATTTTGACGACCTCCGTGGCCGAGTGGTTTGTACGCCGGGTTTCATGGCTGTCGCCTACTCGAAAGGTCCCGGGTTCGAATCCCGATGGGGGCAGATGTTTGTGTGATGAATACGAGCATTTGTACTCCAGTCATGGATGTTTAATATGTTTTTCTATATAAATATACTTATATATGTACAGTATATGTATTCTATCCGTTACCCTAGCATTCCATAACACAAGCCTTATAGTGCTTACTTTGGGGCTAGGCTAATTGGTGTGAGTGTCGGAAATATTTATTTATTATTTATTTATTTATAACTCGACACTAGGAAACGGTAGGTAGTATTATTTCCACAGACACAGATCGAAATAGACAAAGCACGTCGAACGTTCGGACGGACGTCGATCTTAATATTTAGAATTTATCTAACTATGTCATATTAAGCTGTAAAAACGATATAATTGAAATAGGTGACCGCGGCCATACTTCTTCACCACTTAGTATTTGTTCTCATGAGTACTCAAAATCTGACACGCTTAGTTTCCGTACAATTTAAAGTACATACGGCGTCTACTTCAATCAAGGTTTTTGATTAATTCACTGTTGTTATTTTCTTAGATGGGAACTCCAATCAATCTGCTTTTTAAACCTTCAAATAAGCACGAAGAAGCTCCAAAAATATGATTTTGGTCACCCATCATATAAATTACACTTACAATAGTTGCAGCGCGACATTGATGTCGTTTCTGTTTTGACAAAAGTGTATCCTTGTCATTATTTATACAGGATGAAAAGGAGAGACTGATGTTAAACCACTGCCGGATTTAGGGGAGGGCAACCGGGGCGAAAGCCCCGGGGCCTCCACAAACGGGGGCCCCCCACAATAGAGACTTCTGGAAAAAAAATCTTTCAAATTCCAACTAGTAAACATCTTTTCCTTTGATATTTTATCACAATAAATTATTTATTGAAAAACTCGACTGAAAAAAAATTGTATACTTTATTTGGAAAATTAACTAAATTTTAACTATAATTTGGGGGAGGGGCCTCCGCTCCTCTGTTGCCCCGAGGCCTCTGGACCTCTAAATCCGGCCCTGGTTAAACTTAGCTTTAAGTTAAGAGAATCTTGCCAAATAATTAACACAAACGATTGAAATTATCACGGAGAGGAGTGTATTTCCCCTGGGATTGGGAACCCGGTAACCATTAGGTTAAATCCCTGGATAGTTTCTTGAAATTCATTTGCTAAAAAGATAACAGAGATATCGTTACGAAAGTAAGAAAATCATATTACGAAAGTCGGATATTTAAGTCCCAATTTTGTAATAAGTTTGGATTACAATAGCAAAAGCATTTGAAATTACAAGCATTTTAATACATATGTTATACTCAACTGGTATACTTAATTAAATTAGTGTTTCTTTTAATATTATCAGCGCCATCTCTCATTGTGTTAGGTTACTAACTTGACATCATTAAGTGCCTATTGGTTTTCAAGCTGCATCACCATTTAAACAAGAAATTGCTATGAATAAACTTTGATTATTTGATTAAATAGTTAGTGAAAGTTAAGTGAATAACATAAAAATTATCAATTTTTCTATAGACTATAATGGAGCATATGATGCATGAAACAAGTTTAATTCTTAAAAAAATGATGTTCACATATATTGAAATATCGCAGCATATGTTAACATAATGAAAGTATAAAAAAAAAATTGTTTAAAACACCATGGACCAAGGCATCAAATCCATGACATCACCTTAGAATGACTGTTTTCGTTAAATACCTCAGAAAACAGTTTTTTTCGCCCGATTTGAAGGTAAGGGTCAAGTTATGACCAGTTCTTCATCCGTAACACGATAATTTTACCTGAAACAAGTTAAAAGAATTTTACAAGTTATTTATAGCAAAATGTAGTATTTGTAATAATACGTTATAATATTAAGAAGCTGGATGGCCTGCCCATGGTCCATTTACATAGTTCTCCTGGGTGTACCAAGGGCAATTATTTCTTCCCGTAGTTTATTACCTCAAGATAACTGGGTTTACCAGGGGCTTTTAAAATTCTTTTTTGTAATTTTGAGTTTATTTGTTTGACCCTAACTACCGTAAACTACCACCGGTTCCAAAATTGTGAGACCTTTCTGAGAAAAACCGGCGAAACAAACTCAAGAGAGGCTTTCTATCTCCTTCTTATGTTAAATTATGCAAACAAAAAGAACTAATAGTATCTGTTGGTTTTGCAGTGTGTGCTCGGGGTTGGGATTTTATCTAATGTATAATGGATTCCCAAGCTGGTGGTTTATACCAACCATCTTCCCTATTGAAATTTGGATATTTTTTAAACTCAATAGCCTCGCGCATCATTCTAGGAACGAATCGCTGCTCAGTTGCAAGGATCTGTAGTTTATCAAATCTAATGTAATGGTTTGGTCCCCCTAATGCATGTTCACACACTGTAGACTTATTTTCGCGCCTATGTTTCATATCTGCGATATCTTCTTTTACCCGAGTCCCTATACTCCTCTTTGTTTGCCCGATGTAGGAGAGCCCACAGTCGCATTCAAGTTTGTAGACACGAGCAACTTGAAAGGGTATATTGCACTTGACCGGTCATAGAAACTGGTTGATCTTCTTTGGCGGCTTGAAGTAAGTATTGATTGAAGCACGCTTCAGAATCCTCCCAATCTTGTCAGTGACTCCTTTCATGTAAGGTAGTATAGCAGGTTGTCGGTCGACTGTGCTAGGTTTGGCGCAACTGTGACGGCGACGTGGTACATTCAGGTTATTATCGTACGAGTAAGTTTCGTACATTAACCCGTAAAAACTAGTTTTATTTATTGAGTGATGTGCGTGAAAACCTAAGAAACAAATATGATATTTTTAAGATAATTTGTATCAAGGTACAAAATTGGGCAAAAATCTTAGGTCTTAAATGCAAGAATCTTCTGAAAGGAGGTTCGAAAGAAGGAGGACAACAGAATACACTTTTCAAGGCTTGCACTCAGTTTCACGCAGAAGAACCGCTAAGCACTATATGCATTTTTTTCGGTTTTTAGTGTTGACTTGGTTTTTGAATGTTTTACGAACCATTAAAGCGACCTTGCAGGCAGACAGGCCCTGCCAGAATAACAGCGCCGACATGGTGAGAGAAGTTTTCTCTTTTCTCACTATGTCAGCTTATGCTGAGGCAGGGTCCTGGTTAGCCGTCTATAGATTAACTTTTATTTTTGTCATATTCTATGTTAATGATGGCCAATAAAGAATTTTTCATTTCATTTTCATTCCATTTTATCTTTAGAACAACAGTGCAATACTGTGTCTGTAGGAGCATTTAGTTGCGTGGGTAATAAATAAATTTGCTCGTAACACTTTTGTGAGACTGTTATCTCTTTAAGAAACACTAACCAGGAAACATACACTTTACTCGACGAATACCTCTGCGACTCGAGTGGTATTTACGCCGGTTTTCAAGGTCTCGCCTACTCAGAGGTAGTTCGAATCCCGGTGGGGCAAATGTTTATGTGATGAATACGAGCAATTGTATATAATGCATGGATGTTTATATGTTTTTCTAAATACATAAATAGGTATACGTATCTAAGTATCAGTATATGTATTTGACGACCTCCGTGGCCGAGTGGTTTGTACCTCGTCCGTCTCGAGAGGTCCCGGGTTCGAATCCCGGTGGCGGCAAATGTTTGTGTGATGAATACGAGCATTTGCACTCCAATCATAGATGTTTAATATATATTTCTATATAAATATACTTATATATGTACAGTTTATGTATTCTATCCGTTACCCTAGCATCCCATAACACAAGCCTTATAGTGCTTTCTTTGGAGCTAGGCTAATTGGTGTGAGGGTCGGAAATATTTATTTATTATTATTATGTATTCTATCCATTACCCTAGTGTCCCATAACACACAAACTTACAGTACTAATGGGTGTGTGTGTGTGTGTGTGAGTGTGTTAAAAAAAATCAAAGTTAATCCAGAAAACAAACACGTTTTTCTTTGGTCGTCGGTTAAAATATATACGATCTTACAGTAGCACACACACAACATTTATTAATTTTAAAAAGAGTTCTAAAATCAAGGTAAATTAAAAAAAATATACCCCTACTGCCATCTCCACCTTGCCTTTCCAAACCCAATCCTTTATTTATTTATTTTCATTTGGGAAACATACAGTTTTACACAATTCAATTAAGTAACGTTTAATAACTTTTCCATTAACCAGTTAAGTTTCCTCAGACTGAAACATTCATACACTTACATAATTTACATAAAGTAACGTACAATATTTAGAATTATGTGAATAGAATAAACATGATAATCAAAATTTATGGTAAGAAAATAATTACTGAGTGTTAGGGTAAAACGACCTTATAGCATTCATTTCTAAATTGATTGTAAGAAAGGCTAAATATATCCAATCCCCTGAAGTATTTATTATAGCTGTGACATGCTCTAGAAATGAAACTATTTGCAGCAAACTTGGTCCTGCTGAATTGTATTACAAACGTGTTGTCAGACCTAGTTCTATTTGGACAACGGAAACCAATCCTCTGCAAAAGAAACGGCGAATCTACAAGGTCATTAATAAGTTTTTAAAGAAATAATTGATCTCTAACTATTCTGCGATGTTCCAAGGATGTAACATGTAACTTTGTTTCACAATCATCAATGATTAAGTTAACATTAATTCTATTTTCTAAGTATTTTTACAAATTTTTACTCTAAGAAGTCTGAATAGAACAGAAACGCAACAATCACTTTGCTGTGGTCTTATCTTAGTAGTCGACCAGCAATCGCTGCAGCTGTGTAGAAAAACTGTCCATTAGATACCTACACAACGAATTATCAATGATATCACTTTGCTGAAAATCCATAATATAGCTCTTATCCGGCCAACAACAATTACAAAACTGTTATCTGTATGCAGACCGTCTGATTGCATAACATATAATTTTTGTTAGACGTGAGTGGGCTGGTATATTTTTTAAGAAACCGTTATCTCTATAAAACACACCATACTCACAGTGTATACTAGTCTCGTAACTCAAACTCCATCGTATGCCCGTGAAACAAACACGTATTTCGGGTTGTCGGTTGCAAAATTGCTTATTTATACGATCTCACAGTAAGCTTTTTTTATTTTAAAAAGAGTTCTTAGTTAAGTATTTTCTTTATCTAGCCATCGAATTTTAAAAAAGGAACTTTTAAACAAAGTTTTATTCTTCCGATCGAATAATTGTAATTCAAAGTTCTGTTCGAAAATTAAAAGGAAGATAAACAGTTTTATGAACATGGTGAAGGTTAAAGTGCAACAAGGATGGTTGGAAGGCGAAACCCTCGAGTGCTCAACTGGACAAGGCAGCTACCACAGCTTCAAAGGGATCCCTTACGCCACACCACCTTTGGGAAAGTTGAGATTCAAGGTACACCTTCGTTGAATTAATTACTTAAATATGAGATCTGTTAACACAGATACGAAACTCCTTATACTCCTTCGATATCTCTCAATCACGTATTGGACCAATTAATTTATAGTCTCAAACTAGCAAGAGTTAATGAAATCCCTGAACACATTATAGATTGATCTATGTTCTTGCTGAATGCAACCGCTTACTTGTTAAGTATATTTTAGGTTATTCTCTTTTTTAATGGTAAGACTGAAGAGCATAAAAGCGTCAGTAATGATACCGTACATACAACGATTAACATTGTGTGAATACTAAATATGTGGAATCATGTCTTTGCCAACTTTGATTTGTCAAACCAATATTAGTGCTTTAGTCATTGTCGAAGAAATAAGGATACCGAGAAGCTATAGTTAATAAAATAATAACATAGTTGTGGTTTAAGCAATGATATTAATTTGATCTGTCAATAACACATGTTTTAGAAATAATTAGGTATTAGGTCTTCGATTAATTAAGGATTCCGAGAAGCTTTAGTTAATAAAATAATAACATATTTGCGGTAAATGATGATATTAATTTTATCTATAAATAACACATGTTTTGATATAAATCCAATTGCGATACCCTACACCACAGGGTCCATAATGCACTTTTTATCTGTTAATATTACCACCTTTGTATCTCCATTATGGTCTGCAATAAATTAATTGAATTGAATTAACTTTAAGGTCTAAATATTGTTATACCAAACTAAGATAGTTTCGGACAGTATCAAAAACAAAGACATCAAACTAGTGTACCTATTATTTGAATCTTTTTGATCGAAAATTACCTAGTTCGTTGAACTCCGAGTGTAGACCGCAAGTCAAGCGAATGCTCGATGCAAAAGGAAGACCGGTGAAGGTCAAGTTTTTACACCTTATTCATATCCAAAGCATACACCCATATCATTAGTACAGTACGATGACAGTTCTCGGGTTTATTTTCCTTGTTTATGTTCCAAAATAGATGTGTTTGGTACGAGTTTTAACACAGTGTCATTTAGTTAAATAAAAAAAGGGAAAATTTAAAAAATCAAAAAACCCGACTGCTTAAAAACTCAAAAGAAAAAAACAAGTCCAGTAGTCTATAATTCTGTTAATAAGTAACATAGCTACTTTAACAGTCGGGACCCATTAGATATTCAAGAATAAACAATATTTTTCAATAATGCTTTAAAACAACTTTAAAGCGTTGTAGATCCTAAACAATCATATAAAATGAAAAATTATTGAATTTTGATTACTATCATATCTTTAGTAGCACTCCCATAATTGAGACGAATCGATTGATGTATGAATCATCAAAATCGGTCCAGGCGTTTGGTCTCTAGTGTGCCACAAAGGAACAAACATACATATATAGACTGTTAAACACTATACTCTGTCTGCGCGTCGCGCTTCGCGCTCTTGCATTGCGCAGTCGGGTAAAAAGGCTTAACAACTGAAAGTGTGTATGTAGTCTTACCTTTGATACGGCACCAGAGTAATTTCTTTTTTTTTACATTTGCCTATCTGCTATAAATCATATCGATAATACTAACAGATTAGATATATTTAAACCATTTAAATTGTCGAGACATAATTACTGTCATGATTTAAGAATAACGTAAAAAGTATACCTATACGACGTGCTCGATGGCGCAAGTGGTTCGTGCGTTCGACTGCGATCGTTGAAGTTAAGCACCTTTCGCAGTGGTCGGTCATTGGATGGGTGACCAAAAGTGTACTATCTCGAGCTCCTTAGTGCTTCGAAGGGTATGTTAGGCTGTTAGTCCCGCCTGTATCTGCAGTCATTAGCCATTAGCACCCACCAATCCGCAATGTGCCCGCGGAAAAGGTTATGGCCCAATCTCCCTATTCCATTCATAGCTAAGGCCTGTGCCCTAGCAATGGGAACATTAATAGCTAATGATGATGTGATATTAAAATTTTCTCAGTACAGGGTAAAGAATCCAATACAACAAAATAACTCTTCTTTTTCAGGCACCACTGCCTGCTGAACCCTGGGATGGAACCAGACAAGCTAAGGAATTCGGACCAATCTGCCCTCAGAAGGACTTATTCAATAACGAAACTTTCCTCGGCAATGAAGATTGTTTATATCTCAATGTTTACTCTCCAAACATGAAACCTTCTAAACCTCTCACTGTCATGGTATTCATTCACGGAGGTGCTTTCAAATGGGGTTCTGGAAATGATGATAACTATGGACCTGACTTCTTAATGGCACACGATGTCGTTTTAGTCACTTTGAATTACAGACTGGAAGTATTAGGATTCTTGTGCCTTGACACAGAAGAAGTTCCCGGCAATGCAGGACTGAAAGACCAAGTTGTGGCATTGAAGTGGGTAAAAGAGAACATCAGCAACTTTGGAGGAGACCCAAACAACATCACAGTATTCGGGGAAAGCGCTGGAGGAGCTTCCACTGCTCTGCATATCCTATCACCTATGTCTAAAGGCCTTTTCAATAGATGTATACCTATGAGTGGTGTACCTTTGTGTGACTGGGCAACACCATTTGAACCTAGAAGGCGCGCTTTTGCATTAGGAAAACTATTTGGTTTGGACACGAAAGACCCCAAGGAACTACTAGACTTTTTGCAGGGTATTCCAGCTGAAAAGCTTATGGATGTAAATCCTCACGTGTTAGTTTCTGAAGAAGTAACTAGTAAAATTTATAAGATCTTACCTTTTACTCCCGTCGTAGAGAAAGACTTTGGCAACAACAATTTCATAACGAAAACGCCATTTGAAATTTTGAAAAGTGGTAATATAAATGATGTGGACGTGTTAATAGGATATACTAGTATGGAAGGTTTGATAATGTTACCGCTGTTTGATGCAAACACAGCTTCATGGGAAATGTGGGAAAAATATCCGGAACTCCTGGTTCCCCACAATATATTATACGAATCGAAACCGAAAACAAATTTAGAAATTGGCGATCGAATTCAAAAGCATTATTTTGGTGATAAAAATATTTCAGTGGACACAATCAAAGAGTTGGTCTCCTATACAAACGACTCAATTTACGTCTATCATGTCTATCGGTTTGTTAAGCTACTTGCAAATATTGGCAAAAGTAAAAAATATCAATACAGATTCTCTTGTGTTTCTGATAGGAATGTTTATGGCCAATCCGGTAAAAAACATGACTTGATTGGGGCATCTCACATGGATGACATGATGTATTTATTCGATGCAAAGAAGACCGTTCAGAAACTAGGAGAAAAAGAACAAACTCTTATAAAGCAGACGTGCACATATTTCACTAATTTCGCCAAGTATGGGTAAGTATTATCGTTACAACATTGAACTGATTGACATAGAGGAACTCGATGGCGCAAGTGGTTAGCGCGTTCGGCTGCGATCGTTGAAGTTAAGCAACTTTCGCAGTGGTCGGTCATTGGACGGGTAACCAAAAATTTACTATCTCGAGCCCCTCCGTGCTTCGGAAGGCACGTTAAGCCGTTGGGCCCGGCTGCATCTGCAGTCGTTAGCACCCATCAATCCGCACTGGGCCTGCGTGGTAGGTCATGGCTCAATCTCCCTATTCCATCCATAGGGAAGGCCTGTGCCCCAGAAGTGGGGACATTAATAGGCTGATGATGATGATGATGAAGATTGAACTGATTCCAATAGATATTTGAATTACACACAATTTGCAATATCAGATGACATATTCAAAGTTATTTCATAAATCTGAACTTTTTAAGCAGTACGTAATTAGTTTTTGATAAAGAAATAAGGAGTAAACTACAGAACATTCTGTAGTGCAACCTTGCCACATATAAGTTTTTATTCCATTTCATTCCAGCATACTTAGTAACGACATCATATATTTTTTTTCGGTTTTTTTGATTTTTTTTGTAACATAAAATCAAACGTTTACTGGAAATTGCATCCATAAAAGATGATTAATAAATCAAGATAGGCGATAGTTGAAAATTAACTCAAATTAGACGAAACGCCCAAAGTATTACGCCAAATAGGTACTGGTTAGGATCTAGATGGTGCAAAAGATAAACGCGTTCAGTCTGCGATCGTGGAAGTTAAGCAACTTTCACAATGCCCGGTCATTGGATGGGTGAGTAATGGGGACTTATGGACTAATTTTGGATGCTATACGGCGAAAAGTGGAGCCAACAGCTATAATAGTCAGAATTAGAGAGTATCAGAAGAAAGAATATCATTTAAATTGACGAAGATGTTTCATTTATACAATAATACACATATATCTCTCTTTTTCACGCAATGTCCCGGGTGAGGTAGACAAAAAGTCCAGGCACACGTTTTTCGCTCTATTCGTAACCATTACTAATTTCATAATGCTGCACGAACCAATATCGAATTCGTAACGTTTGCGAGTCCGAAATGTCACTGTCAAATGTGTACTGATTTTTAGTTCTAGTTACGTACATTGTGGCGCTGCCGTTCAAGTTTCCATACAAAGTTTGACAATGACATTTCGGACTCGCAAACTAATCGAATTCGATATTGGTTCGTCCTAAGAGTATTGTACCCCTAGCACGAACCAATATCGAATTCGTATCGTTTGCGAGTCCGAAATGTAATTGTCAAATTTGTACTGATTTTTAGTTCTCGTTACGTACTTTGCGGCGCTGCTGTTCAGGTTTCCATACAAAATTTGACAATGACATTTCGGACTCGCAAACTATACGAATTTGATTGATATTGGTTCGTGCGAAGGGTACTGTTTCTAATTCTGACGTCACCTACGTTCAGAAAGCGATCACTTTGATCGTGCTTGATAGAAGAGTCTTGGCCTTCCCCGGCTTCTAAATCTTTCCACTATTAGCAGTGTCAGCAATAGTGTCTTTGGGATGGCTACTAAAATTTTTAACAAAATACCCAATAATATAAAGAGTTTGTCAATGACTATTTTTAAGAAACGCTTAGTGAAACTATTAATTGACAAAGTATACTATAATACACAAGAGTTCCTTAGTGACACTTCCTTGACAAAGTATACTATAATACACAAGAGTTCCTTAGTGAAACTATTAATTGACAAAGTATACTATAATACACAAGAGTTCCTTAGTGACACTTCCTTGACAAAGTATACTATAATACACAAGAGTTCCTTAGTGACACTTCCTTGACAAAGTATACTATAATACACAAGAGTTCCTTAGTGACACTTCCTTGACAAAGTATACTATAATACACAAGAGTTCCTTAGTGACACTTTCTTGACAAAGTATACTATAATACACAAGAGTTCCTTAGTGACACTTTCTTGACAAAGTATACTATAATACACGAGAGTTCCTTAGTGACACTTCCTTGACAAAGTATACTATAATACACAAGAGTTCCTTAGTGACACTTCCTTGACAAAGTATACTATAATACACAAGAGTTCCTTAGTGACACTTCCTTGACAAAGTATACTATAATACACAAGAGTTCCTTAGTGACACTTCCTTGACAAAGTATACTATAATACACAAGAGTTCCTTAGTGACACTTCCTTGAAAGAAATGGACATTTACGTAATTAACTTAAACTTTAGTCTATTATAGCACAATTTATTATTATTTATTTATTTTTAGTTTGACATATTGCTTAGTAATTTTGACATTTAATTCTAACTATGACTTGTTTTATTGTAATTGTAATTTATTAATATGGATTTTTATATAATTGTAAACCTAATTATTTCATAAAAAATATTGTATACCTTGTAATAAGGTTGAAATGTAGTGACACTAAACTTTTAACCTAAGACCAATCTGCTGTACTAACCTACATTTCACAATAAAGCTTTGAATTTGAATATTGGATCTCTTATCTATTAGACAAGTCCGTCCGTCCGCCTGTGGTGCTGTTTCAGCGGCCAAACCGTAAGAGATAGATAAAGAGAATATTTAAGTTATAAGTTAAGAATAGTCTGATAAGACTGCAAACCGGATTTGAGTAACGTAGCACTTCTGGTTTCCGAGAAATCACGAATTTCAAACGAAACCACAGAAAATCTCCGAAGTTCTCAATTAATTAAATACTTTTTTTTTTCTTTTTAATCAGGTTTTGGTGAACATTTGGTTCAGTGGTTTGCTAGTATGTTTATAATTTATTATGTATATCGTTCTGCAGTGTAATGACCACGTCCTCCTCGGAGGTTCAGTGGCCGGAGTTTGGACAAGGCGAGTACTATGGAGACATTGGAGACCAGCTCACGATCGGGCAGCACCTGGACGCCGACGCCATCAGCTTCTGGAGGAGCATCTATGAAGACGCCGGAATCGAGTTCGTTTAGGATAGAGCAAAAAGTGAAGAAGAGATGTAACAAAGAATTATTACCAAAAGATAATTGTTATACGTTTATTTGGAATGTACTAAGGAATGTTTTTCTTTTTATAATATTGAAGGCTTTCTCTTACAATTTCTTTTACCACTATTTTTTTATACAAATCTTAAATGACAACAAAATCATACATCTCATATTAACTGTAAGAGATAATTATTTATCTGTCACAGCACCTATATGTACGAGTATATGTGACAGAAAAAATATTATACTGCTGCCATCTCAAAATTTCAAACCTAAACCCAATCCAGTTGCACTGCGGTCTTAGTGTCGCCGCACACGGGCCACTCGCCACGGTCACAATCGCCGCCACGGGAAGCTAGAAGCGGCTACTAAAGTGGCTGAAGCGCGCGACAGCGGCCGACTAAGGCAAGGGAGAGAGGGAGGGGAATCGCGCGAGTAACGTGTGGCGGCGTTTTGTATGTGGCCGGTGCGGGCCACAAGAAGCCAGCAACGACAATTTGTAGCGTGTGGCGGCCACCGGCTTATCGTGTGTGGCGAGTCCATTTAAATATATGAAAACTACAAGAAATATGCCGGTGGCGGCGTTTGTGGTTGTGGTCGATGCGGCGCCCATGTGCGGCGACAATTACTATACTAGTCGAATAGCAATCGGTTCAGCCGTTTAGGAAGAGTATAATTATATACCTACACACAATGAATTGGTAATGATATTATTTCTAATTCGTTTCCTGTACACAAAAAAAATACATTCATATGATACCTACCTATACCTACTTTAAAAAGTCTAGTCACAACTAGTGACTCAATTGACTAATGAAAGAGTGAGAAGTGTTGAAGATTTCAGTATCCCGACTTGTGAATTTTCTTATAGTAATATAAGTTTTTTACGGTATGGTCGCGGTCAGAAAATATTTACCACCTTAAGGATCATAATTGCATGCACTCATTTAGCTCACAAGTTCTAAATGTCTATTTCATAATAATTTGATTGACCATAGATTATATTTTTTCTAATGATATGACAATCAATCGCTCTAGGCGATGGACTGACTACTATCAAGGTTTGATATATAGGTATATATATTTTTGTAAACACTTCGCCCCATCTTCTTCTGTATCGTGGGTGTAATTACAAACATATAATCTCACATGCACATTGCACATACGCCCAGACCAGGACAAATTTATCTGTAGGCCATACAAAATATCTGTGCCGTACGGGAATCGAACCCGCGAAATTTTCTGACCGCCACCGTACATTGTTTTAACAAGTTTCCGATATTTTGGCACTGTTGCAAGCGCCATGATCACGGAGTAACTATGGAGTACTAATACTGTAAATAACTTATCTCTTATCTATTAGACAAGTCCGTCCGTCAGTCCGTCCGTCCGTGGTGATGTTTCAGCGGCCAAACCGTAAGAGATAGATAAAGAGAATGTTTAAGTTATAAGTTAAGAATAGTCTGATAAGACTACAAACCGGATTTGAGTAACGTAGCACTTCCGGTTTTTGAGAAATCACGAATTTCAAACGAATCCACACAAAATCTCCGAAGTTCTCAATTAATTAAATACATTTTTTTTTAATCAGGTTTTGGTGAACATTTGGTTCACTGGTTTGCTAGTATAACTATAATGTTAGTGACCATGAAAATTTAAAACAATGTATTGTAAATTTGCTGTTGGTTTTTGTGGAATTTCCCCTCACAAAACGATTACAACATAATCTCAAAACGTAAGTAAAATAAAGATGGAGTCGTTCTCAATGTGTTGCTGCGTCAAGTATATGACATTTAATTTGTTTTAAACTTTTTTCACACTTTAAACTACCACGAAAATAACTAAGCCTATCCGAGTCTATAGCGATCTCCGAGTTATGCTGGGCACAATAATAGGGCACTACAGAGAGATCTCTGTGCAAAGGATGTCTGGTAGCCGACGAAACGGCCGCTCATTTAGTCCTGGAATGCAAGAGTGCGTCAGAATAACAGGCACTAATCCTCGGTACTATGAGGACGCTCTTAGAAGTGTCCTCCCCCAGTGAGAGTCCCAAGAGACTACTACATGAAAGGTAGCTGGAAGGCGCTGGGCTGCCTGAGCTAGCGGGCCTCACAACCATGCACGCATAATTGACCAACTTGAGAGTCTACGTGCGGAAACGAGGGTAACCACAAGTAACAAGTCAAGTTTAATCACACTAATATTATAAAGGCGAAAGTTTGTGAGTTTGTGAGTATGTGAGTGTGTATGTTTATTACTTCTTCATCACACTAATAATATTATAAAGGCGAAAGTTTGTGAGTATGTGAGTGTGTATGTTTGTTACTTCTTCACGTCTAAACGGCTGGAGGGATTTTAATAAAATTTGGTATGGAGTTAGCTCACACCCTAGATTAACACATAGGCTACTTTTATCCCGAAAAAATGTTAAGTTCCAGAGGGATTTTCAAGAAACTAAGTTAACGCAGACGAAGTCGCGGGCGACCTCTAGTTTTAAATATCCGAGCAAATGTCTAAACCTTTAACGCTATTCTAACTTTTTGGTCGTTGTGAAGTTGTCAACGAGCGCAACTATGCGAAGTGCGTAAGTCCCATATATCAAATACAATTTTTCCGCTAGTAATATAAAAAAAATACACACTACGTCTTACCATCATCATCAACGTTTTAATGTCACCACTGCTGGGGTACAGGCCTTCCCTATGTATGGAATAGGAAAATTAGGCCATTATAAGCGATGTGTGGATTAGTAAAATTATAAATATAAGAACGAAGAAAATCGTAAAAAATCTTTTTAGAAGTGATTATATTTCATTTGTATTACTCAACTTTGTTTTGCTTGTTTTCTAATTCTACCAAAGGTTAGGCCCTTTTTTTTATAACGCAGGTAAAAAATGCTATTTACAGACGACGGCGCCTTTAAGAGGCACACTGCCGAACGGACCTCACACCTGGCTCCCGCAAGTCTTACGGACCCCAGTGGCTGTCCACCGAGGACCCCGCAACTCTTACGGGCGCTTTACGGCATAATATCCGCTAAAAAAGTCCTGCGAATACCCTCTAAGCTGCTTAGCGCGAAGCCGCGGGATCCCCGTTTAGGGATTCTTCCGCGTCTCCGCACCTAGCAGCCTCCCGGCCGAGCCGGGGCTCCACGGCAGGGTTCTCCCGGGGTATCACGGGGACCCCGCAGACGTGCGCAGGTAGGCCCGCGCGTGGGGGCTGAGTACGCAGCCTAAACCAAAGGTTAGGCCTTGTAAACAGAATGAACATAAAAAAAAATGTTTCAATACAATTTAGTATGTAATGTGAATCTTCATTATACATTTTCATCGTAAAACTAGCTTCTAACCCACGCTAATTGTTAGATCACGGTTCTTTGACTTACTTTAAAATTGTGTCTAGAAAGAAATTGGACACATTATACCAATTTTTACGTAGATTTCCTACAGTTTTTTTCAAAATCCCACGGGAACCATAAACTTTTTTCGAAATAAAATAATGTATGTTAATCTGCGTACTGAAATGTTTCCCACAAGTTTCATGGCTTCACAAAGCACGGACGAACTCACATCTTTTATCGCGTCCTTTACAGTTATACCGTTTTGCTTTAGAAATATATCAACTATAGGCAACGATTCAACCATATAAACATCGAATCGTGATGATACACACTCCATTGCTCCCAAATGAAGCGAATTTTAATTTGGTATCACACATTGAGGAGCTCGATGGCGCAGGTGGCTAGCGCGTTCGGCTGCGATCGTTGAAGTTAAGCAACTTTCGCAGTGGTCGGTCATTGGATGGGTGACCAAAAATTTACTATCTCGAGCTCCTCCGTGCTTCGGAAGGCACGTTAAGCCGTTGGTCCCGGCTACATTTGCAGTCGTTAGCACCCACCAATCCGCACTGGGCCCGCGTGGTGGGTCATGGCCCAATCTCCCTATTCCATCCATAGGGAAGGCCTGTGCCCCAGCAGTGGGGACATTAATAGGCTGATGATGATGATGATATGATCACACATCCTCGGTATATCAAAATACGGTATGTAAAATAGTACAAAATCTATCTACACATATACAAAAATCAATTGCTGTTCATTAGTCTCGCTAAAACTCGAGAACGGCTAAACGGATTTATCTTGTCTTGGTCTTGAAATGTTCGTGGAGGTCTAAGGAAGGTTTAAAAGGTGAGAAAATATGGAGAAATTGCGAGGACGATAGTAAAAACGTCAATTTAATTTTCCCATATAACTGTTCTATCTTCTTTTCTGTCAAACATTTGACGTTCGTCCCTTTTGGTACGGTAGACTTGGGTCCCTCATTTCTTCCAAATAATTTTAACCCGTACGAAGTACGCGGGGTCAACTAGTAATAATAATTCATCATCATCATCATCAGCCTATTAATGTCCCCGCTGCTGGGGCACAGGCCTTCCCTATGGATGGAATAGGGAGATTGGGGCATGACCTACCACGCGGGCCCAGTGCGGATTGGTAGGTGCTAACGACTGCAGATGCAACAGGGATAAGTAAGATAGTAGATTTTTGGTCACCCATCCAATGACCGACCACTGCGAAAGTTGCTTAACTTCAACGATCGCAGCCGAACAGTTGCGCCATCGAGCTCCTAATAATATTTATTTGCCAAAATTGTGTACGTAATTGGATTTTATTTTTAAAAACAAGTTTTCCATGAATTTCTGCCATCACTGGCTTGCAAATAGCAAAATTTGAAATTAGGTCAAAAAAATATCAAATGCATATAAATTAAAAAAACAGAACATCATACATGTGGGTTACCTACAATGCGAAGGGATGGTGCTGCCTTGCAGCCTAAGAAATTTTCGAGAAAATCTGACACGGACAATTAGGGCCGCGGTAGCATAATGGACATTTGCCCGGAAAGCGGAGGGTTCGGGTTCGAGTCCCGTCTGCTGCCTGGCCCACGTGGATTTTTTTCTAGTAAGAAAACGCTAAATTTTTTCTTTACATATTTATTTGTGAAATAATGATTTAACATATTTTGCAAATACATCCGCATTAATTATAAGTTCAGTGTAAAAATAATCCTTGCTACTTAGATTATATGAAGCTTAAGGAAATTAAGCAGTTTAACATATGTATTTTAAAAATATGAAACTAAAATAATAATCTACTTCAATGTAAACAAACCAATTTCAAGCTCTCCTGACATGGTAAAGTACCATACTCATCCTAAGATGAACATTTCCATTTTTGTTAAGAAGAAATGGTAAAAATGTATCGCTACGCTTTCGGTATGATCAGTAAATTAGTCACATACATATTTGAAGAAGAACAGCATTACTTATTCATAGGTTGACCTATGAACCATACCGAGTGTCAACTTTGACGAATGAACTTTTTTCCTATTCACCAAATGGTTTTCCAATAAGCTAATCACGGCTTCAAAGTTCATTATGCCACAATCTATTGAACATATAAATTGGGACCGGGCACGCTCGCCTTGCGTTAGTCACCAGACGAATATCGTTCTCCAAGGTCGCTCCAATATAAAGTGTTTGTTAGCATCGTAAAAACAGTTTCAGTCGCTGCGGTGCACGAACGTCTACTTATAAAAGATGGCGCAGGTCGAAATAGAAGAAGGATTGTTAGAAGGTGAAATAGTGGACAACGATTACGGAGGACAATTCTACAGTTTCAAGGGTATTCCGTATGCCGAGCCCCCCGTCGGCGATTTGAGATTCAAGGTTCGTAAATTGTGTTTATATTTTAGAACGCAATCTTTTTTTTTGTTTCTAAACGTTCATATTATTTAAATTCTGGAGACTATGCACAGTAACATTATTTTGATTTTAGAATGCATTATTTTTTATGTACAGAATTATTCTATTTGTATTTCATATATATTTTTTGACAATATCAGATAAGTACTACACATTTAAAATAACAAAATATGTTATGCATGCCTATTTATCAATTAGAACCTTGGAACAATTTTATGCTGAAAAGCTAGTAAATTCAATAAACAAGGTGAAGATTATCAATCAAAGTTTCACGGAAATATTAAATTGAATAGGTCTACCATTCTGTAATCCACCATTTTGTAATTTCTTGTATCCAGTGAAGAGTAAATCCTATGATTTTTGTGTTGTTTGATGAACGAGTATCGTGTTTCTATCTTCTGTGATAACAAATTCTGTTTACATAATTTTGTTGATGAGGATTAGTCAAATTGAGCGAGAATAATTTAGATTTGAATGAATATTAAGGCGAAAATGTATTCATGTTCTTTTTGAACTGGATTTAATAATAACGATCTTGATTTTCTTGAGAATATTTTACTTGAAAGCTTTGAAATGTGTATAGAACTTATGGAATTTACTATTTTTACATTAGAAAAGGAAATAACGAAGAGCAACTAGAAGTTTTTATTTCACTTTCCAATGGCTTCCAGTCTTTAATATTTATTATTATTATTTTACACATGTATTTATCCCATATTTGTACTGTACTGTAGTGTTTTCAATAAAGTATTGTGTGTTGCACTGTATTAATCTCAGCTTGAGGAGTTCGAGAGCGCAAGTGGTTAGCGCGTTCGGCTGCGATCGTTGAAGTTAAGCAACTTTCGCAGTGGTCGGTCACTGGATGGGTGACCAAAAATTTACTATCTAGTGCTCTTCCGTGCTTCGGAAGCCACGTTAAGCCGTTGGTCCCGGCTGCATCTGCAGTCGTTGGCACCCACCAATCCGCACTGGGCCCGGGTGGTGGGTCATGGTCCAATCTCCTTATTCCATCCATAGGGAAGGCCTGTGCCCCAGTAGTGGGGACATTAATAGGCTGATGATGATGACGATGATGAATCTCAGCTTGATGCCTCCACGTATGTCCGTGAAAATTGGTAGTGACGTAGTGACAGTTCCTTTCTCAAAGTTTCCTGTATTCAAAGTTTCCTGTATTCAAAGAAACAGTCAAAATTCCACTTATGTATGAAGAAGTTTCTAAAAATGACTTTAAAGTCTTAATTGACGCTGACTATATTTGCGTTGCAGATATTCTAGCTGCGATTATAAATTCACATCTTTTTTATTGTATGTATATAAAAAAGTATTGCGAGATAATCTTTGCATAACAATACAATACTGATAGAGACGTAGTTGTTTTTTCTTCGTTAACAAAGTACAGATAACAGTGAGCGAGCACGTATTGCAATTGATATAAAGAATTAATATTTTACCAATTTATAACGAGTTCAGGTGCTGCAAAACTTAATGTATCGAACTTATCTCCAGTGCTTGCTGAGAGCGAAAGAACAAAAATTATTGCGCTAGCTTCTTTATTTATTTCCCACCAGTCAAATTCATTATTTGCTTTCGCCCGCCTCTTCATCCACGTCATAGTTAGTTTTTTGATAATCCTACATAAATCTAACATTTTTACGGAATCATAATATTGCGTATACAAATATACACAGAGAAACATAGGTATAGTAATTTATGTGGATATGTTCTTCTGTATACATAAGTGTTAATTTTTTTAATGTTTTCTTCGATTGTATATTTAAAGAGATTTTTAGTAGTAGTTTGGTAGTTTAGACTATGTGGGATAAAATATACTGTATGTGTGACTTCTTATGCTCAATTTATGTATTTTTAGGCACCACAACCAAAACAACCATGGAGTGGAGTACGGCAGGCAAAAGAATGTGGTCCAATCAGCTGCCAGAAATCCATGACTCCACCAACTGAAGACAATCCAAATTTGGTGGTTGGTAGCGAAGACTGCTTGTACATCAACGTATATAGCCCCGAAATCACTCCAGGCAGCCCTCTGCCTGTCATGGTTTGGATTCATGGAGGAGCTTTCGAAACTGGTTGTGGCAATGATTGGTACTATGCACCTGAGCTGCTTATCAGACACGGAGTTATAATAGTCACCTTAAACTACAGACTAGGATTACTCGGATTCCTATGCTTAGACACAGAGGATATACCTGGTAACGCAGGTCTAAAGGATCAAGTACTAGCACTCAAATGGGTGAAAAAGAATATCGGGAGCTTCGGTGGCGATCCTGAGAATATTACAATATTCGGAGAAAGTGCTGGTGGCTGCAGTGTAGCATTCCACTTAATATCACCCATGACTAAAGGCCTTTTCAAAAGAGCTATAGCTCAGAGTGCATCATGCGCCAATTATTGGTCTGTTGCTTTAGAACCACGCGAGAAAGCGTTAAAGCTAGCGCGACAGTTGGGATGCTATTCAGAAGACGATAAAGAACTCTACGAATTCTTCAAAACGTTACCAGTAGATAAATTAGTTCCGGTCAAACTACCAATCTATCTAGCTAAGAAAGGCTACGAATTAGACATCGGCGCTGTAAGCGAAAAACAATTTGGTGATAATGAGAGATTTTTTTACGGTGATGTGTATGACGTCCTGCGAAATGGAATACATGAGGGAATCGATGTAATAACCGGATACACTGAGGACGAAGGACTTTTAGCATTCCACAATGTGAAACTTGACAAAATGTGTGAACTTTCAAACGAATATCCAGAATTTTTCGTTCCAAGGAATATAGCGTACAACCTTTCCTTAAGAGAGCAATTCGAAATTGGGAGACAAATCAAGAATTTTTATTTTAGTAATGGTCTAAACGCTAATGATAACTACGTTGGTCTTTTGAGGTATTTGAATATGGAAATGTTTGTTTATGGAATAGTTACGGGAGCAAAATTTTTTTCTAGTAACAATAAAAACAAAGTCTATTTCTATAAGTTTACATGCAAGAGCGAGCGAAACATAGCAACTCATATATTTGGCACAACAGAAATAATCAAAGATAGAATACCTGTTTGTCACGGAGATGACTTGATGTACCTGTTTCAAGGGAAATTACTTTTCCCAGATAAAATTGATATGAACTGCGACACGTTCAAAATGATAGACAATGTCACCAAAATGTGGACAAATTTTGCTAAGTTCGGGTGAGTAGACTTCATTTTAATTGAAACTGTTAATATACTTTAGTAAAATATCTTTGAATAATCATAAGCTTGTGATGTGTGAGTGATTTCTGAAAAAAGTGTTTTCAATAACTAAATATTGAATTGTTTTGACAAGTCCCCAGTTTATATTAAATATAATGTAAATCAATTACTTCATTATTTGTTTCTAGAAATCCAACTATTGATGAAAGTTTGGGCGTGGAATGGCCAACTTTCGACCCTGAGGAGCAAAAGTACTTGGAAATCGGCAATCAACTTATGCTGGGTTCTGGACCGGAAAAAGAGGATGTCGACTTCTGGGACAGCATCTTCAAGAAGTATTTGCCTGCTCATATCGCTAATTAAATGTTTAACTTTAAATTACTAATATTGTTGCTTGTTGTAAAACGACATACATAAATGTTAAACTTAAAATTGTTGTACAGACAATAATAATTATAATTTTATTGTCTTCGTTGTTAAGTTAATGATAATAATATGAATGCATTTATACTGTTCCTTGAAATCACTTTGTATTGAGAGAATTATAAAATAAAGTGCACATTTTTTTTTATGTATCCTTATATTTTACTGTACGTGATTTAATATTTATTACACATTTCATGCAATGAGCAGTTTTAAAACATTAACCTCACAGTATATTAATATTTTTAAGTAATATTATTATTAAAAATGGTTCTATTAAGTTGAGGGAGAGAACCATTTTACAAAAGTTGACAATATCGATATGCGACCGTACCGTGAATGAATCGCCGAATCGGTTTTATTGTATGAATTCTCAAGTAAATCATAGTCGATATCTAGGTCCAGAGGACTAACGTAGATAAATTATGTTGTGTTGTTTAATTTTTCAACAGCATTTACCGGTATTTTCGTAAGTCTCAACAAATCGTTTCAAGTAAAATTATTATTAGCTTTAAGTACCTAAGTACACATCATCAGCCTATTAATGGCCCCACTGCTGGGGCACAGGCCTTCCCTATGGATGGAATAGGGAGTTTGGGCCATGACCCACCACGCAGGCCTAGTGCGGATTGTTGGGTGCTGACGACTGCAGATGCTGCGGGGACCAACGGCTTAACGTGCCTTCCGAAGCACGGAGGATCTAGCTACTAGGTAGCTGTAAGTACTCTACTTAGTAAAGTATCTTAGTGAAGGTTTAGGCTAAGCCGGTTCACAAAGTAGGTTTGTTTTAATTTTGGAATAAGAATATTTAGTAGGACACCATATAAATTATAATGTAGATGATCCTGCCATTTCTTAGAAAGATATAAAACTGCAGGCACTGACAATTTTGCGATTATTCACGATTATAGGCGATAATGGCCACTCATGGCCAATTGTGCCTATTACACAAACGTGCGTGTCTATATTCGTCCATCATGGGCCATTGTAAAGAGGGGCCATTAGACATTTTTATACATCTATCTACCAATGATTCTATAAAATAAAACATCTGTGTTTATGACTACTATTCAAATAGGAAGTCGTACAGGTGTAACTATTTCAGTGATATTTATAAACCTCACGCTGTCGTTTATGATAAGATAAATCCTAAATATGCATATCACGCAAGAGATATGGATAAAAAGTACCATAATATAAAAAAAATCCTCTTTATGTTTTATTAATGATCGTCGAACAAAAACCGTTTCAGACAACGCCCCTTTCGAATCAACAATATGCTAATGCAGAGTCCACATCGGCAAAAACATCACGCTTGCAGCTCGTAAAGAGCTATATGAGCTATAAAGGTTGCGAGCATAACCGTAAAGGCACTACTGGAAACCCTGGATCCGTCTGTAATCCAGCCGTAAAACGATATTACTCTCTAAGACAGACAGACGCGATGAAAAGGCAAGTTGCTAATCTCTTATACCACTTAATTAAAATCGTTAAGGGAACAGTACCGGTCTTTAAAGCTTTGTGTATTAAATGAATAATGTTTAGTTTCACGCCATATATCCTCCATGGAGATGGCAGAGCTTAAACGATGGTATATAAGGAGACAAATATTTTGACGACCTCTGTGTCGCGAGAGTGTATGCTACAAGGTGTCGCCTACAAAGTGGTCTCGGGTTCGAATCCAGATAACACAAGCCTTACAGTGCTTACTTTGGTTACGTAGTAACCATTAAATAATCTGTCCTTGGGAGCTATACTAGTCGGCGTGTGTTGGAAAATTTATTTATAATAATAATATTTACTGTCTTTTTTTTACATGTTACAACAGATATTTAAATAAAATTTTATTTAAAATAAGACAATAGGGAATGGCTCAGCCAATGTTGGTCAAGCCTAAACATGAACCAACGCTGTTTTTCAGCCACCCCTTAACAAATTATACTTAAAATTAATAATATAGAAAGCCTCGAATTATCCAATATTTTATTATAATTAATATTGGAATTATAATTATTTATTTATTGATATTGCGGTAGCTGGAATGGTTCTCCTTAAAACATTAAAGTCGTATCGTGAACTTATTCGTACCTTGCCCACCTAATTAATAACAATAATTAAGCCATTTGTTTCATCCTCCTCCTCTATGGTATTAAAATTATTAAAATAACATAAAGTTTGGACGAAGATAACGATCACAACATAGTTTATTAGAATAGGCTTAAGATTTATTGTATGAAGATTTGTTTTGATTGTGTTATGAATACAAGCGATTGAGTTTCGAAATAAAAAATAAATAAAAAACTTTCAGATTAAAGGCGCAGGTTTTCACGTCACATAAGATATACGATGATAATATCAGGTGTGATAAAGTAATTATAATCGGATCACTTACCTATAATTTACCTACTGCAAAACAACGTCAAATTATCTTTAAAATCTGATAAAATCGATTATATACTAAATTGAAGATATCCTACACAACACTAAATAAATAAGAATAAATAAATATTTCCAACACTCACACCAATTGGCCTAGCCCCAAAGTAAGCACTGTAAGGCTTGTGTTATGGGATGCTAGGGTAACGGATAGAATACATATTATACTGTACATATATAAGTATATTTAAATAGAAATACATATTAAACATCCATGACTGGAGTACAAATGCTCGTATTCATCACACAAACATCTGCCCCCACCGTGATTCGAAAAAATAATTCGATAAAACCTGTTGATAAAACAATGATAACTGTATTTCTAATATTAGAAATGATGTGTATCAAGCATCACTGACCTTGTTACAATTAATTTATATGGCAACAAAAAATAAGTATAATGTTGACAAAAGAGCAATCATCCAAATTGATTAATGTACGAATGGAGTCACTAAAAACATTTCTCGGTAATCATTTCATACACAATCAACATTAGGAACATGCTTTCAGTGTTATATTTATAGTGCGAACAGCTACCTTAGAATTCCCTGAAAATAGGTATATTTTAGGTGATTAAAGCTGTTTGTCCACCGCTCCCGTCACCGGGACGAGATGATAGCGCCGAAGTAGCGACACATAGTGGCGACAAACAAGCGACCGCCGATCGCCGGCGAGTCTTCAAATAAAAGCATTCACACTACGAGCAACTGTCGTAACAACCGGATGTGTGTGGCGGCAACATCTATATGCCCCACATATAACTAACAAGGAGGAAATAATCACTCGCCTCCTCAAGAGATGGCGCTACCTGCGCTGCGATCACGATCGCGTTGAGGAAAGTGCATGTGTTTATTTTATTGATATAGATAAGCACCAAGCAAGGGCAACTAGAGGCTCCATATTCACTCACAAGATGAACAACACTGCCGTCTCTCTCGAATACTCCACTACTAATGATCGCCTCCTGCACGATGTCTGTCGTTACGACTAGTCGCCGATGCTAGCGACAGCTCCGCGTCTAGTCGCGGCGACAAGACGCCAAATGCAAACGACAACGCCGCGACAGAACGCGACGACAAGTCGCCTAGTTTGCGATCTCTCTAATAGGAGCACAGCATCTACGACCTGCCCCTCTAGCATGACCACCGAAACGGGATATGATAAAGCTTTTTATCGAATCTCAACTGTCAAACTCCACTGTAGTCTGACAGTTAATGTCGATATATCGCTTTATCATATCCCGTTTCGGTGGCCATGCTAGAGGGGCTGATGTGGAAATCGAAAGTACTCGGAAGACGATATCCTGTCGCCGAAAGACCGAGTCGCCGGCGCCCTGTCAACAGTACGTAACGGCTCTAAAAAAAAGTTTGTATGCAAAACATAACACTCAGTATTCATTTTTTACGTTCGCCGATTGTAGAAGTCGTTAAGGAGGTTCGTTCTAAAGCGGACACTGGCTTTATTGCTTTTTTTTTTCATTACGCCATCAAAGTGACATAAAGACACAACGTTTCTAATAAAGCGAGCGAGTAAAGTCGATAGCGCAGGTGGTTTCGGTGCTGTAACGATGCTCGGCACTCTTAGCTTTTAGCTTGTAATGGTGAAATACATCATAACCGAGCACCTACCTGTCATTTGCTACGCCATTTGTTTGGCGACTACTTAGTATCGTTGGAGAACCGAGTAGGTTTTAAGTACTCCTTCAATACATCAATTTTAAATGATTTTTATTAACATAACACTGAAGTTTTTAGGAAGCAGGATTATGTACTAAAAGTAAAAGATTAAACTAGTAAAAAGATAATTTTATTATAACATCATTATATATTATAACGGTTATAATAGATTTGTCAGTTTAAAAGTAAATTATAAATTACTAGTTGACCCAGCGAACTTCATTCCCCCATAAAAATAGGGGCAGGTGGTAGAAGAGAAAATTTAGGGTGTATGTATTTTTAATACCAAATTATAAAAAAATAAATATTGTCCAAAAAAATTTAGTGGTGTGTAACGTAGTGTTCTATCAATTTTCTGGGATAACATTCCTCCTAACCCATATGAGAACACTATGTTACAATACCCAATAGTTTGAATTTTGGTGCGAAGCTCAAAGGCGCATTGTAGGTTTCAGAATACTACGTTACAGGTGGACAAACATTATCACTTAAGGATAAAAAAAATAGATAGTAGCCGAAAATTTCATAAAAATCGGTCAAGCCGTTTCGGAGGAGTATGGTAACTAACATTGTGACACGAGAATTTTATATATAATACTAGCTGTCCCAGCGAACTTCGTACCGCCATAAAAAAATAGGGGTTGGTGGAGAAAGGTGAAAATTTAGAGTTGGATGTATTTTTGTAGGATGTATCATAAAAAAAATAAAAAAAAATATCTAAAATTGAAAAAAAAAATTAGGGGTGGATTACCCTTAACATTTAGGGGGATGAAAAATAGATGTTGTCCGATTCTCAGATCTACCCAATATGCACACAAAATTTCATGAGAATCGGGAAAGCCGTTTCGGAGGAGTTTAACCACAAACACCGCGACACGAGAATTTTATATATTAGATTTTACTAATGTTTTATTACACCG